CCCTCTCTCTCTGGTAACCATAAGATTGTTTACTATGTCTGCGAGTCTGTTTCTGTTTTGTAGAAGATTTCATCATTTTTAAAGGTCCAACAAGGTATTTTAGTTTTTCCTCTTTTGCTTTATCTTGAATTTAGTGTATGTTACTGCTTGCATTTTTAATTTTATATTTTGATAGGTAACTTTCTAAAAACATAAGCAGAAATCAAAATAAAAGATAAAATTTGCCCATAGTCCTGCTATCTGCAACAAATTAAATTGTTCATGTACATTATCTTTTAGCCGCTTTGTTGTTATGGATTTAAAATATGACGATTTTTGTCTTATATCTGAAGGTCAGATATGTAATTATTTTTGTAGGGTGGTTGTTCTTGGAATACGAAGAAATTACGTTATCGGAAGTTTTCTTTAAAAAAGGAAGTCTGTGCTGACAATTACATTTAGGGAAAAAAGTCCTGGGAATTAAAATTAAAAGTCACTGAAAGAGGAAAGATAACTACAGGGTGTGAGCAGCCAGGCACGTAGCGAAGCTGTTGATCCTACTAAGAACGGGGAGATGTGGTTTCCCTTTCTGTTGTGGTGAAGGGGATGTGCAGGGCTGCTTTCCCTTACGTCCCCGGCCCTTCCGGGGGGATCCTGCAGGCCACACTCCTCAGGGATGGGGGAACGTGAGCCCCAGCTGGGCCCCCCCCCACCCCATGTGTGTCTCTAGGGCTCTGGGAGACCAAAGGCAACTGCAGCAGACGGTTCTGCCCAGCTTCCTGGAGCGGTTGAGATGCTGGTGCTCCGGTGGCGCTGCTGTGGCAGCAGTGGGGTGAGGGAGGCACTCCTGGAAAACAGCATGATTTGTTCACCCAGATCTTTCCAACTCTCTCTGTTTCTCAGGTTTTGCAGGCTGTGGAATGGCTGGTCTCCCACTGCCCCTGTGCTCTTGACCTTTGCTGCCAGACCCTTGTTCAGTACGTGGAAGACGGGGTTAGTCGGGAGTTTAGTGGCCGGTTTTTCCACGACAGACGAGAGAGGCGGCAGGGCGGCCTGGTCTCGCAGGAGCCCAGCGCGGTCATCGAGCTGTTTAACAGCGTGCTGCACTTCCTGGCCTCTGTAGCATCCTCCGAGCAGCTCTGTGACCTGTCCTGGCCTGTCCCCGAGTTTGCCGAGGCAGGGGGCAGCCAGCTGCTTCCTCACCTCCACTGGAACACCCCGGAGCATCTGGCCTGGCTGAAGCAGGCCGTCCTTGGCTTCCAGCTTCCGCAGATGGACCTTCCGCCCCCCGGGGGTGCGTGCTCGTGCCGAGGGCTACCGGGTGGGAAGGAGTGGAGGGGCAGCCGAGTTCCCCATCTCCTTTCTTGCTGGAAAGACAGTCTGGTGGGTGCTGGGCACCAGCATGAAGTTTGTAGCCCCCCCCACCACTGTGCACCCCGCCCACACTACACCGTTCACACTGGCCTTGGGGTTCAGGGGCTGGGCTTGTGGAGTGGAAGCTGTTGGCCCTTCACCACCCACCACGGTCTGTGGGTATCTGCTCAGCCTCGGCGGGGAGGTGGCAAGTGGTGTCAGGAAGAGTGCCGAATCCAAGGCCTGGGGTTTCTGAATTAACAGCAGTTCCCATCTGGTCTGCACCACAGGGTTTGGGAGCAAAAAGCATGGGGACGGGGCAGCGCTGTCCTCACGCTGCTGGCTCCGGTAGGGCCACGGCACTCAGTGCTGCCTTAACACTGGGTTTCCTTCTCCGTCAGCAGCTCGTTCTGTGGCTCTGGCTGTGCCTGAGTCAGGCCTTTGGGCTGTTCTGATGCAGACTCTGTGGATCTCTGTGCCATGAGGAGGCTGCCCCTCCCATTGCTGATGCTGTTAGGAGGAAACAGGGATGTTCATACTCACCTGGCATGGCATGTGGCCTTGGCAGGGCCATTCTCCTTCAGACTGCGTAGAACAGAGGCCTCGGGCATCCTTCTGAATTTTAAGGGGCAGTCTCCTATAGTTCTGACAGACATTTGTTAACTGAAGGAGCACAAAGGGAAACAGACCACAACATGCACATCCTCGGCTGTGAGCTGGGTTAGGGCTCCCCAGTGCCTCTGGGACCAGACCTCCCTGGATACTCGGTCAAATACAGATTCTTGGGTGCAACCACAGGACTGTGCAGTCAGAGCCTCTGGGATGGACCCTCTGTTGTGAATTCTGACCTGGGTGACTGTTTGCATCCCTTACCTGGATGGTAAGGGAGCGGGAGATGTTTTTCCTCAACAGCTGTAGTTTGTTGTATTCAAAGTTGAAGGCAAACTTCTCAATTTCACAGTTGCTTTTTCCTAGGAAGACAGAGGGTGAAGAACATTTTACACAGGTTTCCACTTGTACTTTGGCCAAAGTGTGACTCAACCAGGTGCTTTCTCTCCAGCTCCCTGGCTCCCTGTGTGCTCCATGGTTGTCCAGTATGCCTCCCAGATCCCCAGTTCTCGCCATACGCAGCCCGTCCTCCAGTCCCAGGTGGAGAGCCTGCTTCGCAGCACGTACCGCAGGTGGAAGAGCAAGAGCCCCTCGCCAGGCCCGGGGCCAGGGCCCTCCGTTGCCGAGATCCCATGGGATGACATCGTTGCCTTGTGCATCAACCACAGGCTGAGGGACTGGACGCCCCCCAGGCTTCCCGTCACATCAGGTGCTTAGCGCTTGGCACTGCAGGGCTGGCTCCTCGTGAGACTTTCCTGGTCCAGTTTTAGCTAAGAAAGATGTTTACTTGATGTTTGTTTCTTTCCTATGGATCCCACCCTTCCTTTCCTTAGGACTGCTTCTTCAGGCCAGTGACTTCCAGGTGACTTACAAACATTGGGAAGAGCTGAGAAGGTTCTGGGAGAGCCTGGACTCATCTCCTTGAAATGGGCCCCCTGGGTTGATTTTAAGTTAGAGCAACTTCTGAAGCTCTGAGCAGTCACACCGGCTGTGCCCATCTGGACTTGAGCCTCTCGGGACCTTGAATGACCATGGACACTTGGAGCATATTTAGCTCAAGTGTGGGAGAAACAGAATTGTGTGACTTAATTAATCAGAAGGGCTTGTCCTTAAGTCGGTGAATTTAAGCAAACGTCAAGTGCTCACTTACTGCTCTTTTGACATTCTTTTCTCTTCTTATTTTTGTTATTGTTTTCTCAGAGGCACTGAGTGAAGATGGTCAGATATGTGTGTATTTTTTTAAAGACGACTTGAAAAAATATGACATTCCTTTGTCGTGGGAACAAGCCAGAATGCAGACGCAGAAGGAGCTACAGTTGAGTCACGGCCGGTGAGATCTGTGTTCATTGTGTGTTTCTGTCATCCCTCAGCCAAGACAGTGAACTATATTCTCTTCCAGAGTTCACAACCGAAATTCACTTTCTATACACAGAATCCAACCCATTGTGGGACAGTTCCCACAGATGCTCAAAGAACAGATCATTCCCATGTAGTAGAAACGGATCTAGAGCTAGGAAAAGCAAGCATCTCATTTTGTTTATCAGATGAACCTGACCCTGAAATTCATAATATAACCACAGACTGCAGAAAGTTGACATCTTATCTCACTTATAAACCTGGGTCAGAAATACCAAGTAAAATGTTAGCACATGCAGTCGTGCAGTACATAAAAAAATTCACAAGCTCACTTAAAAAAACTCACAAGCTCGGTTTACACCACACTAAACAATGTCAAGAATAGAAATGTGTTCGTGTAATTTGCTGCTGTAAGAGAAAAATAAGTGATCATTTCAGTAGGTGTTGAAATGCTTTCCTTGAAATTTATACACATTCCTGCCCCCTCTCCCCGAGAAGAAAATTGGACACCCTTTCCTGATAAAATTTCTTATCAAATTTGAGTAAAAAATTCCTTAGCTTGATAGGGCTATCTACTGTAAAACTACCAAAAAAAAAAAAAAAAAAACACCAAACAACCACCCAACAAAACATGCTTCTTGGTAAAACAGGAGAAACACTAAAATTCTAACTTGAGCTCCCTGACATCACTGCTGTTCACTGTTGTCCTGGAGACCCTGCCCAGTGTAGAGACACAGATACAGTGGCATAAATTATCAAGAGGAAGGACAAACTGTCATTTCCAGACAGTAAAATTGTCAGTTCAAGATAATCAACAGTCACACCCTTAGAACTATTCAGCATTCAGCAAGATGAGCAGACAGATCAACCTACAATGTACAAAAATTCTCATTTACAGCAGCAATAAAACTAGAACATATGGACGCAGACTGACCAGGGGAGGTGCTCAACCCCTGTGAAAGCGATTCTCAGGGCCCTGAAGGTGCAAAGGAAACCAGAATAAATGAGGGGCAGGCTAGGCTTTGTTGATGGGAGAACACAATGCTATAAAAATGTCAGTTCTCAAACTATAAAGTCAGGGTATTTCTGCTTAAAAACCCAAAAGAATGTTTTATCCTGATCTGGACAAGTTAATTCTAAAATTCATCAGGATGAGAAAATGTGTAGCAGTTGCTGAGAAAATTTTGACAAGAAAGGTCTGTTCTATAATAGTTACTGTAGCCAAATGGGTCAGAATAGGAATAGAACCGTATGTGACAGCAGTGCCACTCCAAATTAATTGGTGGAGGGAGGACAGACATTGGTGCCTGTTTAAAAAAATATTGGACCCCTGTCTCCTGCTGCTGTAAACTTTACTTCTAGATGGATTTAGGAGCTAGATGCAAATTTAAGAACCATGCCAACGTTAGGGGAAAACAACCTGCTGATGACCCTGGAATGGGAAGCAAAACTCAGCACAGAGAAGCTCTGAGAGCCCAGCTGCCCGGAGAGCAGAAAGTCTTGGAAAAGCAGAGGCTGCCCACCCTCTGCGCCCGTGCCTGACCCCAAAGCACCCCACTCTACCTGATGCCAGAGGAACCCTTCCTCCCTCTCCTGTTCTTACAGTTTCGGGATAAGGCCTCTTCATCCTTCTGCAAACAAGCTTCCCACCCCGTCTCTTCACATGCCCCGCCAAGCGAAGAGGAGCGTGGAGCGTGGTCGAGAGGGGCGGCTTCCCAGCGCGGAGGAGCTGACGCGGGGAGCCTCTGCCCAGGAGCTCCTGGCCCAGTGTCTGTCTAGTGGTCTGCTGCTGGAGAAAGAGGAGAGCAAGAGGTGAAGCCCGTTCCCTGGGGTTCGTTGTGTCATTTGGGCTGCTTCATGCTGGGTTAGCAAGGACAAGACTTTAAAAAAGGCAAGTCAGACACGTGAAGTGTAAGCTCTCGGAGGACAGACGCAGTGCCCTCAGTGGTATGGCTTAAACTGTTGTTATTTGAAATCAGTTTCATTGATGGTTTATTCCTGAAAGTTTTAAGTTTCCTAGAGAGAAGTGAGTGCGGCTGGCTGGCTAAGCCCCTAGGTGGGCGGGGAGTGCTGGCACGCTCCCGCTCCCCCTCTAGGCTAGCCTGAGGGCCTCGATGCCACCCCGAACAGCAGGCCAGACCCTCCCTGCCTCTTCTTCCACCCTTATTTATGGTTTTACTGAGAAAGAACCGGCCAGAAGGGAGTTTGCTGGGTCCCATGCCCCCTTGCCCCTCCCCTCCCCTCCCCCAGCCTCCCTGTGTCCAGCCTGTGGGCAAAGTCCGTCTCTCCCCTTGGCTGGAATCTCATCTGCACCTGCTCAAGGACACTCGTCCAGTGAGAGTCCTTCATGTCCCCTTCAGCACACAGACGTGAAAACATGCTGCCATGTCTCCCTGTCTTGGCCCCATCTCCCTCCGTAGTCACCAGCCCCATGTTTCTGCTCCCTCAATAGTCAATTCAAAAACAGTCTGATTCTCACTTCTTCGGTCCTCTTTCCTAGTCTCCTGCAGCCTGTCCCTGCTGCTCATGTCTCCTCCGGTCAGGGTCACTGCAACCTGCAGCTGAACCGACCATGAACCCAAGGGTCCAGCAGCCCCACATGTCCTCTCCCACCCCCCACCTCCCTTGGCTAAGTGTGTTATCTGTACCCGGTCCCCAGTGATTTCATCCAGTTTGATGGATTTTTAAGTAACATCAATATTCTGACAACCCCAAATTTATATCTCAGATCCTAAGATCGCTTCTGAACCCCAGATCTCAGTATCCTAGTCCTCCCTTAAAATCGTCATTAGACGTCTATTAGATGCCTGGCAGCCATCTCAGAGCTAACATATCCAAATCTGATTGCCAGTTTCCCCCAACCAGCTCCTCCTACAGCGGTCTTCTCAGTTGATGGTGGCTTCACCCTTTCATCTCCCCAGGCCAAATGCCTTGGGACCATCCCTCTACATCCAGTCCACCCACAAACCCTGTTGGCTCTATTCAAAATGTATTCAGAATTGGACCATTTTTGCAGTAGTCTGTAGTCTAGTCGCAGCAGACTGGTGTAAGCCTTTCAAGTGTAAGGCAGAGGTCGTGGTTCTCCTTTGCTCACAACCTCCCGGTGGCTTACTCTCACCAGGTCAAAGGCAGAATCCTCACAAGTGGGCAAGGCCCTGTGTGGTCCGCCTCGCGTTTCCTTTCTGATCTCTGCTCCCTGCAGCCACCAGGTGGTGCCCAAGCAGGCCTTAGGATTAGCTTTTCCTTTTGCCTGGGACTCCCCAGCCACCCCAGTATCCCCTTGGCTCACCTTGCACCCACTTCTGGTCTCTAGTCATATCTCCTCAGCGAGGACTTCCTTATTGTCCCTGTAGTCCCGCCTGTCTCCACGTCTGCTTGGTCTCTCTCGTCTTCAGACATCTCCCTTGTTGTATGTTCCTTGTCTGTCTCCCTCACTAAAGTGTAAGCTGCCTACAGCTGGGCCTTGTCTGTTTCTGTTTTTGTTTTCAGTGCTGAATCCCTGGTATGCAGAATGGCGCCTAGTGTTTGGTAGGGCTTGATAAATACATGTTGAAAGAGTGAATGAATGTGTCATGATTTCTACAAGTAGATTTTCCTAGGTCTGTATCATTTTAGCAGTTTGGATCAGATTGCTTTTCTTGAAAAGACTAGTATTTGGAATGGACAGCTCTGGAGTGTGTGGGGTGGCAGTGAGATGTTACTTTGAGTTAATTTTAAACTGTAAAGATCAATCCATACACTTGGATAATCCAAAGAGACACAAATTAATTATAGACACACAATACCAAAATAAGCTGGAGAAGATAAACCAAATGAGAGTATTACAAGTAATGTTAAGTAACACGTAAAAGCAGTTGTTTTGGATAAATGCCACCTTTCTCATTAAATACAAATAAGATTTATAAGTTAAAGAGAAGACATTAATTTTTTAAGAGGACGTTTCTGCTTCTCAGTTGATGTCATAACTTAGTTCCATCCTTAGTATAAAGCAAAGCTTTAAAAATTTGAAGTATACATAGGAGAAAAGGGAGTGATAGTTAAATTTTTGCTTCCTAATGCTCAAATGTTTCAGGTTTGAAGATCAGCTTCAGCAGTGTTTGTCGGAAGACTCAGGAGCATTTACAGGTTCAGTGTCCCTTCCGCTCTACCTTCCTCAGACTCTGGTGTCTCTGCCTCAGACTGCTGAACCTGTGATGAGAGCGTCTACGACCACCAGCCCTCAGGTGAGAAGGAAGTGCATTTGGCATTTGTATTCGAGTTAAAGACTGAGAGAATGGCTGGGGAAAATGTCATGTCTTGATTCATCGTATGCTATGATGACCAATAAATTATTATCTTAAATTAGATTTTTTCTTAAACTTAATCTGTCAATGTTGAGGTGGCTCAACGAACTCTGAGTTTCTGCTTATGAAATGAATGAAGAACGAATTGAAACATGTTTAAGAATTGAACAAAACCCATAGCCCTGTGCTGACATGCAGCAAAGCACTGAGGAGAGCAACAGAGGTGACCACAGCAATCCAGTTTCCGGAGCACTACTGTCCAAGCTGGGGCATCACACATCTCTCCTTTTCTGGGGTTAACGTTCCCTGAGGAAAATTAATGAGTGAGGAGGGTACGCTTATCGAAGTCAAGGGCCTCACCCATGAGTGTTCAGTGGGTCAGTGGCAAAGCTACTTTTCAAAGCCAGACCCGACTGGCTCCAAAGCTCGAGGTCTTTCTACCTCAGCACCCTTCCTTCACTGGTAAAAGAAGCAAAAGCAGAGTTTCACTCATAGGTACGTGTACAGCTCTGGACAGGTCAAATGTGTGCTCCTGGAGTGGCTTTTAGGAAGCCCTTCATTGGGGAGAAAAACACATTAAGATGACATACTGTTTCCAATTCTTAGTTGGGCAGGTACCTTAAAAATATTTGTATGCTTTGACTTAACAGTTCTACCCTAAAGAAAATACTATATATGACAAAAATTACTGTATTTTTGTTCACTGTAGAGTAATTTTGCATGAAAGTGGAAACTAAATATCCAAAGAGGGAAGTTTGGTTCAGCAGTTACAATATATATGATGTAATAGTTCCTAGCCTTTGAGAATGATATTTTACAAAAATGACTGGAAGTTGTTCATGGTAGAATCAGAAGATAGGCATTCCATGCACAGATGATACCAGCTGTATGTATATGTCCTGGAAGACACTGGCAGGATGTATGATAGATGCCAAGAGAGGGGTTTGTTGAGCCTAGCAGTTCCCAGCAGAGGTTTCTGACATGAGCCAGATTTAGTGCCTTTAAAGAGAATTTATCTTGGTTTATGCATATCCCCAAACTATTTTTAGTTTCTCTTTTGTTCAAATAGAATAAAAGGACAGGGGAGCAACTGCAGTTGTCAGAGGTAACAGGCGCATCTCTGACTGAACGGCTGAAGCACCTAGAAGGGCTGATCCGGAGGTCAAGGGAAGAGGAAGTTGCCTCTGAGCTCCATCTCTCGGCACTGCTGGATATGGTGGACATTTGAGCTGCTGTGAGAGAGGGAGGGTCTCCCCAGAAGATTTTCTTTTACTCAAAATAATGTTATTCTCAGATGCTTGATGCATGTTGGAAATACGATTATTAATCATGCAAAATAAACCACTGGAATATCTAGTGAGATCTTCCTCAGTTTCCAGAATGAAAGGCTGTTTCCTACTGTGTAATGTCTTTGATACTCTTACCTGTTGTCATGACCTCTTCTGACTGATGTCTGCCAACTCGTGTTTCTGTGTGTAACATTTATTTATTTATTTTTGAGTTATAGTCAGTTTACAGTGTTGTCAGTTTCTGGTGTACAGCACAATCCTTCAGTCATGCATGAATATACATATATTCATTTTCAAATTCGTTTTCACTGCAAGCTACTACAAGATACTGAATATATTTCCCTGTGCTATACAGTGTAAACTTGTTTATCTATTTTATATATACCTGTCAGTATCTGCAAATCTTGAACTCCCAGTTTATCCCTTCCCACCCC